CAACAGAACAGAAATGATATTTTGATGATAATGCAAAAACATGACTTTTCTTGTGCGATGTAAGCTCTTGCTAAATGTGTTGAAGTTGATTGACCCCATTGGCAGAACCAAACTTTTTGCAGCACCCAAAACTTCCAACACTGCCCAGGTGTTTGGTGTTGGATTGTGTTTGATTATCTGAATCATATCAATGTGACAAAACAGGCAAAAACAGAAACAATCTGTACCAACCACCTGTTATCAATTGGCTTAGCAGAGAAAAGACTGAGAAACAGCAACAACCAACGGCCATACACTGCATCTGCATGAGATTTCTGATTAGTTCCACCTTGCATGTCATTAATTTTTCTAAACATTAACCTAATTTTCAACAATTTCTATAAACTTATCACCTTACCGAGCCTAAATCCGACTGTTTTCTGTTTAGCTCAGTGTGGAATACGAAAATTATTTTTATTTGCAAAATGACAGAGTGACGAGCAAGATGTTTTATTTTCATAGCTTTTCTAAAACGCTGAGGGTTTGCACCCATTTCCTTAATATTCATAAGAATAGCTTTGAATTAAACGATTCAGCTACTTTTCCATAAAATCATGACTCTAAAAACTGTTCTTATGGGTCTTCTCCGTCAGCGGCCCCCACAACTCCTCCGGCTACACATGCTGTCACAACGAAGATCAAGACGACGTTGGGTGAGTTTGCTTGTGGACGGGACGTACGGTTTGTTCATGAAAAGAACCATCTCGAATGCCTTTAACTGTCCCTCGTCTCGTCTCTGTTTCAGCACCACCCAGAACCAGCCAGCCCGTTAACTCCTCCACTTTATCTGCCGTGACGACGACGACGACGGGGTTGCCCACCACAGAGCCCCTCCTGTCCACGGTCGCCACAGAATCCAACCCCACCACCCTGCCTTGGCTCCGAAGCAGGGGTCTCAACGCCAACGAGTGTTTCCGATACGCCTACGGAACCTTCTCGGGCAACATCACTATAGTCGGTAGGCTGGGCAGAGTATCTAACGATTTCATTTCTTCTTTTTAACAGTAAATCTAGCAGCATCTCCTTTGTCCTTTGATAACTGCGTTAGCTCCAGCTTCTCTCAAGCGTGTCGTCTCGCTACTTGTGTTCTACGCAGAGCCAAAGCCCCCACTGAGGAACCGGCTAAACAGTCGCATCTTGGACGTGTCGGCTGCCAGGGTGACCAACACCGACGTCAGCTTCAGGGTAAAATGTCTGGGAAGGTGAACATTTTGTTTTCTTTTTTTACTTAAAATACATACCATTTATTTAAATCTAAATATTAAGAAATGTTTCAACACTCCATTTGATTTTGAGATCACATTTAGATGGAAACTGAAGAGTCCTTAAGTACAAGAATGCTAAGGAAATATAGTATTTTAAAAAAGACTGAGTTGTAAGAGAATCCAAGTTGTAAGAGCAATAAGCGGGACAGGAAAACCAAACCTATTTGGGATTCTAGTAAAGGTTGGATTGGAGTGAGTGAAACTCCAGCATCTTGACTTGAACAATGTGGTGAAGACACATCCAATCTTCATTTCCAGTTTATTCAATAACATAAAATCTGGATTTTACCCAGTTATCTCCATCGCTCTTTCGCAGCATCCCCACTTCAGCCTGCACCATCGTGTCAGACCCCAGCTGCTCTCAGGTGCGCAACATCATGTGCGACGACGTGCCGCCTTCATCCGAGTGTGAAGTGCGCCTGCGGCGAAGGTTCCTGGAACCGGGCACCTACTGCGTGAACATCACCCTGGAGAACTCCAGCAGCATGGCACTCGCCAGCACCACCATCACCATCAGCAAGTCTCAAGACGCACCCGGTTGGTTGGAAAAGTGCTCTGGAAACATAATGCCCTCCTCAGAAATTTTAATTATTTAATAATAATAATAAAAAAAAATTGTCCCTATTATTCATCCCAGCGCCTAAAACTTCAAACACCGCCCAGGTGGTTCTGACTTCAAGCGCCGTGCTGGTGGGAGTCTTCGCGATCGTTGCCTACCTGGTGTACCGGTGAGCGTGTCGCACTTGCATCATCATTTTGAATCCTGTGAATTAATGACCCATTCACAACAGATGACAAGGATGTTTTCTTGTGCAAATAAAACAAAGAATTATGACCCTCTAAAATCTTTCTTTTTTTTTTTTCTTTTTTTAAGACGTCACAAGGTCTACAGACCCATCCGAAGGTCGCTGGTTGAGGATGCCTGTGCCAATTCTGGTGCTGCAGGTCACATGGTTCGCCTGAGGGAGGCGCTCTTCCCCTCTAGCGAGGAGAGTCGCCACCTTTTGACCGAGAGACAGGCTTTGTAGGGTTTGGAGGAGTTGCATCAAATAAGCTTTTTTCTCTCTCCCTCTCTCTCTTGTGCTTTAAAATAAAAGACACTTCTGAAATGAAGCAATGAGAACTGATACTAATAATGTCCTAATTCAGCCGAATCCTAATGCTCTACAGTTCAGAGAAGATGTACTAAAGAGGTCGCTTGATTTGTGGCTGCTGCACTAATTTTAATGTCAGCTTGGAATGAATTTGCTGTGAAGGAGTTTCGATAAGTCATATTGGTGCCTTTGATTAAAAGCAATATGAAGAAATGTCAACATCGAGGATGCGTTGTACCTTTTTCCGTAAACTCTTGCAAAACCTTTGGTTTTTGATTCATTATTAAACAATTTCAACTTTAAAGTTCGAGTCCTAAATTATTTAAAGATCTCTTAAACAACTCATTTCATTAATGTAATTCTTCATGATATATTTGTGTCATGCTAAAGATTTTGCCCTGTAATCTGACTAATGAAGTCACCCTGGTATTTGCTGAGCTCATGGATTCCTGACACTATATTGCATGTTTTAATGTGACAACTGAAGGTTTTCTTTGATTGTTCCTGTGGAAAACTTGCAAAAAGACACAGATGAAAGTTTTTTTTTTCTTTTTTCAGAATGTCCAGGTATTAAAAATTAAGTTGCTGTTTCAATTGTAGAGACAATAACAACAATACAGAAGTCTATCTGAATCATCATACTGATTGTTTTTGTATTCATCTGATAACGGCCACTGAAATATTTAGTCTCAATTTGCTGTTTAATAAAGAAATAAAAAAAAAAGAAACTTTAATGGCATTGAAAATGTTTACAGCAGCATCTAATACTTGAAGGCGCCTAAGGATACACCAACCAGTGCATTTTCCATGTACTTTTCTTGCCTCGGCTATATTTTGAACAGTTTTGATATAATCCAGGACATTCAGGAATGAAATATCAACTTTGAGGTTTTTTGTTGTTGATGGAGACTGCCAGGGTACACCTGTAGTTTTAGATTACTCTTTTTAAAGGGACAGCATTATGCACTTCCCAGACACACATAGTGCAATTTAGTATGCCAAGTGGGGTAGGGCTGCTTAGAAACTGCAGCTCAGAGGAGAATCTGCGATTTGAAGGCGGCGCTTTCTCCACCTGACAGGTGTTTTGCACAGCTGAATGGTTGCCACTGGAGACTAAAGGGTTTTTCAAATGTGCATGAAAGAATCAAAGCAACATTCCAGGTATGTTTGATAAGCTTTACGTGATGTAAAACTAAAAATGAGTCGATTTGATTGTCGGAGCATTCTGCAGTAAACATTTTCTCCACGCACTGCTACCCCACTCCATCCGGATGTGAAAAAGGAATCCAAGTCAATGACTTTCAAGATGATACTATGTGAAGTGTTTTTTTTTTTTCTTCTCACGCCCTCCCCCAAACGAGCCAATAAAACACAGCTGGGTAATAAAATAGGCAAGTATTTCAACCTAATGGTGATCATCATCTTCAGAACCACCAACTGGTTTTTTATTCCTGGTTGGTTTCTGCACATAATCTCCACTCAGACTCTTTAGTTTTCCATCACAGCCTTCTACAGTTTGGAAATCCACAGGATTTTTTATTTATTTTTTTTAAAAACTAAAATGATGCCAGTGACAAAGACAGGACTGCAAATGAATGCATGGTACTCTTATGAGTCCAATTTTACACGTCAGTCCAGCAACATTGCTGCCAAGAATCAGTTAAACACCTTTGAAGATGGAATTTAATTGAAACAGTAAAACACTAGTGGACATCCACAAAGAGAAATCTGGATTTGCTTTATTTCGTTGTGAAAAAGCTCTTTGGCAATATGTCTTACGCCACTGAAAAGCCTATTTATTCTCTTAAATGGTGCCACAATAAGGAAATGCAAGTGTGGGCTGTGTTGGAAAACTTGCCAAATTTGTCCTCGCTCGATGCCAAACAGCTTACTCTGCCCTTGGTATTTAATCAAATTGTATTACTGAAGTTTGAACACACAAGAAATCAACTTAATTCAACATGGAGAACCATATGGAGCCAGAACGGCCAGAATCTTCATGCCTCATCTGGCATGAGCAACGCAACCAAGTTGATCCAATGAGGTTTTGTGGTAAGGACTGAAGGGGAGGCTTTTCCTTTCCCTCCAATCTGAAATTATAGAGAAACCCTGAAACAAATTTGTGGATTTTTGGGAGGGAAAGTAAAGACGTCAAAGGTAAAAGCTCAGACAGAGAGTGGCAATATGTGATAGATGCAGGCTGGAGAATCTCAACATTTCTGCACTGCGATTGCCTCCAATGCCAAAAATAAAACCTCCGCCGTTTGAACTCCATTGCATTTTCTTTACGAATGTGTAAAGAGTATGTAATTTTTACTTGTACAAGATTTGCCATGAAGCAAAAGAAATAAAAAAAAAATCCCTTATGTTATGCGCTACATTTAGAAAAAATAAAGCACATCTGAATTTCATTTGGCAGATTTTTAAATGAGTCGAGAATGACATTAAAGAAATGTTGGTTTCTTGAATTGTATTCTACCAAATAAAATGGAACTTGGCAAGTTTTATGGCAAAAGCAATGGATAATCATTTAAAAGTTGAATTGTGCAGACCTCAAGGAAACGACGTGCATAAAACAAAGGACCCACTTCTGTCATCAATATTAAAACAAAAAAAAAAAGAACTTTATTTTTTTTTTATTATTTTTTTTTATTTAGAGGCATTTGACAAGTGGAGCTGTGTGGTTGTGGGGAGGTGACGGGGCACAAGTATGGTTGCAGAGAGGGGGAGGAGAGAACATCATGCTGAAGATCGATCACTTTTCCATAAACAGATTCAGTCCCTCTAATTTGTCCCATACCAAAAAAAAAATGTTCCACATTACACAACCAAGAAACGCTAACCGAAAAATGCCATCAAATCAGCGAGTGTAGCATCTTGTGAAAGACAAAACAGACTTGCATTTTCTTGTCTTTAAGTCTTATAAATCTGAAAGAGGAAATAAAACAAAAACAGGTCCTATTTTGCATTAGACTGAAAGCAAAAATCAAAAGATTTGATTTATTTTCCAGAAAGAAAGAAAAAAAGTTTGAATACATGTAAGCCACACCACCAAAAACAGAAAGCAGTAAGGAATAATCATTGAGGATCTCAAAGCCAAAAAGGAGTATATATAAACACTGATCAAAAGAAAACATTTCTATCACTTTCCATTATTCTCAATTCTACAGAGTTCATTAGTTTAAATTTTCGTTTCTTTTCTGGGGAGGTGCACAAAAGTTTGTGTGTGGGTGTGTGGGAAGGGATGGGTGATGGGGGCGGGGCCTAACAAATGGTAGAATGCCTCCAATTCAAATATGTGTCTAAAGAGGTAGATCAAAAACAAACTGGATGAGGGGAGGGTGGGTATCAGGAGGATCATTTTAAGCATCACTTGTGCCCCTCGGTTAAGCGTGACGTCAGAAGGGCGCACCCAGGTAGAAACAAGTGTTCGGGGTACTGAGGTATTGGTGCGCGCTGGCGCTCAGTGGGGGCGGGGTGAGGCGTCCAGTGCCACAGCAACTCCCTCCCCTACCCCTCTCCCCCCTCAGCTGAGGTAGACTGCGTTCTACTGTGGAAGCATGGATACACTCTAGCACTTTACCACAATCAATATATATTTACATTCGGCACGGAAACAAAAAGGAAATAAAATTACTGTTTAGGATTTTTGCTTCCTGTCCGAGTGGGGTGGGGGGCGGGGGGGGGCTCATTCACAATTATGCGTCATTTAACTTGTTTTCCCCTGGATGAGCAACCAAAAAAAATAAAAAATTTATCTAATCAAGTTGCAAAAAAGGACAGCTCACTTTCTCCAAGCCCAAAACGTAAAAATGCATCCATCTGTGCCACTCCCCCGACTCACCATGAAAAGAAAATGAATGACTTGATGGCCACGTCACTATGGCAGAGTTTGAACCTTACCAGGATAGCGTTAGCAATACGGCGCCGGATGACCCAGAAATGAAACAGACCAAGAGAGGGAAGTAAAAAATAAAAAATACAGATGCTCCGACAACAGCTACAGGGAGGACCCATCACAGTTTGAGCTGCAGCATCCTGACCGCAGCCCTCAATAAGAAGGCAAAAAGAATTTGACATTAAAACTACCAGCGAAACCCCAAAATAAATGGCATTGCTGCAAATATGTATGGTTGGCTTTTTTTTTTTTTTTTTTGCATGCGTTTAGTTGTTCTGTACTTGCTTTTGTCTTCAAGAAGATGGTGGACCGTCAATGGGGAAAAAAACTGAGGCAATTTTTTTCTCTATATACTTCTCCGTCAGCCGCCAGCTGAGGGGGTGAGGGGGCGCCAACTCTTGCTGCAAGGCTGCTATGTACAAATAAATTTTATGTACAGAGTCATCTTTGTTCACACATCCACATGTACAATGCCGCCTAAAGCACCAGAGTTGAAGGCAAGGTCAGTTGGCAGCTGACCCGGAAATTTTAAATTTTCTTAAAAAAATAAAAATGTTCAAAGACTATCAGCTTTATAAAGTATACAAAATACCACAAAAGCAAAATAAAAAGAAAGGAACTTTTTTTTTCTCCATATAATCATTTTTTTTCTCTTCTGAGGTACTAGATCCTGAGGTAGTTAAACAAAATGCATAAATTGGTTTTTCAGGGCAGCAGCTCGGCACCCTTTTCTCCAAAGGTGTCAGTCGCAGCGATGCCCGCTCTACTAAATATATATATATATATGTATTTATATTTATATATCGATCTATTTATATAGGTCTATCTATAAAATGCATCCGAATTTTTCTTTAAAAAAATGCCACTTTCATTCCGAGGGCAGGACGCCTGATATATAACCGACCCTCACAGGGGTCCTGTCCTAAAACAAGAATTTTTTCCCCTAAATGTGGCCCACCTGGCCAGAGCCAACCCTCCCCCCAACTAAACCTCTGTTGGTCCGACCAGGACCAAGCAATGCCTTTTCTCTTTCCACGGAAAAACTCGTGAGAAAGCTTTAACCAATTAAGAAAAACTAAACAACCTAAACATCTTTAAGGTACCACACCATAGGGGGTGATAAAAAAAGGGGTGTAGGGAAGGGGGGGGGTCTGTATTTCTTCCTCATAGTTTTAGTGTAAAAAGAACCAAATAAAAAACAAACTACACCCAAGGAGGGGGTAAAGGAAGGGGTTGAACGGAGGGCAGGTGATGTTGGCGAAAGCCCTCTAAAGTACATTCTCACAGCAGACGCAGAGACGTGAAGTGGGTGGAGCTTAAGAGGTGTACGGTGTCGTCACCCTCACTTTAAAGTCATCAAGTTGTTCAGGGAGGGGTGGATGTTTGGTTCCGATGACCTTGACCCCTGAGATGTGCATTAGGATCCACTGTCATTTTTCTTTTCCCCCTATGAGCTTTTCTACATCTGTTCATCTTTCGAGTTTCACGACGGATCCAGTCGCCGTTCTTCTAGAGCTTGCTGGAGCTTCACTTCCTGCGTGGCGTCGGAGGCTGGCCGCCCGATGGAGACTTGGGCTGCTGCTGCTGTTGATGCTGCTGCCTCCTCACCTGAGTCAGGATCTCCTGAATCTTCCTCTGGGCCAACTAAACCAGATAGAAGAACATTAGTGTCCTCAAAACTCATCATTGGAATTTTAGGATTCATTTGTAAATATGGCTGAGACTACAAGTTCCCCCACTGAATGTTTTGTTAAATTTGCTGCAAATATGTACGGTTGGCTTGTTTTTATTATTTTTGCACACATTTAGTTGTTCTGTACTTGCTTTTGTCTTCAGGAAGATGGTGGACCATCAAGGGGGGAAAAAAAAAAAAAAAAATGTTGAAATTACTTTACTGCATTTATTTATTTTTCAGATAACTGACATGAACATGCCCCCAAGAGATCTTTCAGTTACAACAATGTAAAGTAAAAAAAAAAAAAAAAAAAACTCCTTTAGAAAAGCAAATGAATGCAAATTTATTGCTTTTTCTTTTGAAAGACACTGCTGTAGAAGTTATATCTTTCACTTTTAACAGTTTTTGTCCAACAACTGCATGCATGTAATCAGATTCACTTAATACCAAGTTTTGCTGTGACTTCAACTACTCCAGAGGAGAAATATAGTTTAAATGAAGATTAAGTCGAATGAATAAACTTAATGTCAGAGTTTTGGTTTTGTATTTTTAGACATTCGTGTAATTGGTCACAGGTTTTTTTATTTATTTATTTTTTTTTTTTTACAGTGAAATGTTTACACATCTTGAAAACTGTTGCCTTGTACATCTATGATTTCCTTGACCCACCTGGCATGCAAAGAAGTGTCCACTGATCTTCACTATGACCTGGTCGTTCTCGTCAGGGGTCTGGTCCCTGGGAACCACCACTTCTGCACAGGTCAAGTTCTGCAGCTCATTCACCTGCAGTCACATATTGTATACTTATTACTGGTGCACAATTCAGATCCCCCCCCCCAACCAAGCCCAACATCCAGGAGCATCCATCTATGAAGCTATATTTACCGTTTTTCCACCTTTCCCAATGACGCGTCCAGCAGCAAAAGAGGGAACCTTGATGTGCGCTTCCAGCTTCACCTCTTCTTTCGGCCCAAAAAAGTTCTCCTCTTTAAGCTTGCCAAAGATGCGACACTGAGCCTGAAGACAGAAAGGTTCAAGTAGAGATTAAATAAAACTAACTTTTAACCAATTTTAACATTTGCTCTTTCCAGCCGAGCAACGTCAAATAGGACAACCTTCTAAGTCATGTGAGAGATACAACTTCCAAACTTTTAAATCAGCAAGTCTCAAGGTTCTCCACCTTAAACTGAGCTTCTGGTGGCCCGACGATGATGACCATCCTCTGCTTGGCATCCATTCCTTCTGCTGGAGCGATCTGAAAACAGGTAAAACGCAGCATTAACGGCAGCCTACACCCAGACGTCTACCTCCTATCAACACAACTTTTCTCCTCACCTTGATTGAGGCTCCTGCAAAGTGTGACAGCTGTTTGATGTGTTGGCCCTGTTTCCCAATGATGGCTCCCACTGCAAGCGCAGGAATGAACAGGTGAACTGTCTCAGACTCCGGCTGGCCCTGCTGAGCGAAACAAAAGGTTACAAATGTGACTGGAAGACTCAAATGGGACCGACGCTACAGCTCCAGCCACCGATGTGCCAAGGCAGATAAGGGATCAAGCAGAAGCTGCACTATTCTGTAAGAGTTGAATGTAGACACTTGAAATTAGTAGCTGAAAAGGAGTAGCTTCTATCTAGAAGAGAGACAAAAGGTACAATTTCTATTATTAATCTCTAAACTGTTGGATTAGATCAGTGTAAAAACATGTAGGGATGTGATTAGTCCAAGATGAACAGCATGATGTAGAAACATGTTGGTGAAAACTTGAATATGTAAAGAAAAGGGAACACCGAAAAGTCTCGTTTAATTGCACTCCATGAAAAGCTTTGATTTAGTAACGTAAAGAGGCTCTATAGTTTAGAAATCAACATTCACCAAAAACCAAATTGAGTTCTCTAGACAAGGTCAGCATAAACACTCATTTGTTGTTTTTTATGTGTTGCTTGCCATTCACTCATTTAATTCTAATATACAATTATTCTTGAATGTTCACATCTTTGCTACAACGACAAGCTTCAAAGCATTTATGTGGATTTTGTTTGGTGGGCCAATACAGAGTTTTAAAAATAAAACAACAAAACATGGTTTTCAAACTTTGACAAATCTTAAAATTGCAGTGTGCATTTGTTAAAATTAGTGCACATGGTGGGAGAATGCTTTAAAGACAACTATGACCTGCACACTCCACAAATCTGGCCTTTGTGGAAGAGTGGCACAAATAAAGCTAGAGTTCAAAGAAAGACATAAGCACTGCATCGTGTCCCTCTAAACAGCATCAGGACTGTTAAAATTATGTTCTTAAAATTTAAATAAATAAAAAAAAAGTACCCTTTTTCTCCAATTTCACAATTATGAATTGCTTTGTGTTGATCTTACAGATAAAACCTAATCATGCACTGACGTTTGTGATTGTAACGTCACCACAAAAATGTGACAAAATTTAAGAGTGAATACTTTCTACAAGGCAATGTAGACACTGTCGATTGTTCATGCCTGGTAGAACTCTGCTGTTTATGCAATAAGACAATATTTTCAGAGATGCAGATGTTTGGTAGAGGTTATAAAAACCATTCGCCTGCTTAGCTTTTTTGGTATACAGCGTATCAGAGAAACCACTAAGGTCACGTTAATATTGGAGTCTGCCATCCTTCTCGCACTCACTGCGTATTTAGAGAGTTTGCCTAAATCCCAATATATGGGGAAATGAAGGAGAACTTTACAGCAAACCCAAACCCCTAATCTCGCAGCGAGCAGCCACAAGCCGTGCAAAGCACTTTGGGATGGGTGACTTACAGCAAGTGGCTGGCTGCTTGCCGACAGCATAGAAGCCCAAAATGGCCCCTCAGCCCCATAAGGACTGCACTAGAGGGGAAAAAGGAAACGTGAAACTCTGTTGCTCAAGACCGATTTCTGCTTTCGTTTCAGTTGCAGACTTCACAGGCCTCACCCAACAATTTAGAAAACCGAGTCAACAGTTCTTGGCTTTGTAGTGTTGGAAGTGTTAATAGGCGGCAGACTTGTCACTTACGCCATACGAGCATCCACCGTGAGCTCCAGGAGGCGAGACGTTGGCCATGGAGGGACCCATGCCTGGTGCTCCACTGGGGAACAAACCCAAAGCGTTCAGATTCAAGCCAGGAATGAGGTTGGATTGGAGCTGTAAATAAAATGGTAGTATATTAACTGGTGACTATTCAAATGCACTTGTCAAGCATCCTACTTTTTCATTTTGACACCGCCGTACTCCCAAAAAATAAAAAAAATCTGAGCAACTTCCACAAAAGTTTTCAAAAACCAGGCGCATAAAATGAACCTCGGCTCGTAAGATTTCCTACAATTCAAGTAATGCATATTCATCCTACCGGCAATAAAAAATACTTAAGGTAAAATTAAAAAAAATACCTTAAGGATTACTGAAAAACGATTACTTTTTCAGTAATCGTTAAAAGAAAAAGTTCACTGAATTTGTTCATTAATCCAAACATTACAGTTTGTCCTGAAGCACTACAAGTATCAAGATGAAATATTAAGTCATCTTCACATGATATTTCAGGATCTGAAAGTGCTGCCATAGCAGTCGAGTTCAACAGATACGCCGATAAGGAATTAAGCATTTTACTTACTAAAGCAGAACTTTTGGCTCTTTTCTGCCTTTTTAAAGTCAGTAGTTTCAAAACTGGGCACAAACACGCTCATATCATACAGAAAACAAACTTTATAGGAAGTAAAATGGAGGATAAAACAGAACGGTATACAATTCAAACATTTCCTCTTTTAATACAAAGAACAATACATTACATATTTAAGCATTAATAAAGAGGTGGTGTGCACAAATGCATTAAAATCAGTTTGTTCAGGAGTTAACCTGAACTTTCTTTTTAATTGATGCCACAAATTTTGGTATTTTGAATATTACCTTAGTTTTACCTCTAGGTGGCACTTTTGTGTTTGAAACAATTCTTGCATAAAAAGGTAGGAACGTTTAATTTGGTGTCAGACCATGTAATTTGAGAGAGTTGCAGTTCTTTAGGATTACTGTCAG